AACACAGGGAATCCAGGACAGATAAACCCCTAAGGACCAATAATGAGAGTAGCAATACCAGGAGGGTAAAGGAAAGATGGGGGAGAAGGAGGAATCAATCACAGTGATCGACATATAATCCCCCTCCCAGAGGGATGGACAACAGAAAACTGGGTGAAGGGAGACAGTGGCCGGTATATGATATGAAAAAAAAAAAAGTATAAACTATCAAGGGACCATGGGGGAAGGGGGCGGAATGAGCTGATACCAAAGGCTCAAGTACAAAGAAAATGTTTTGAAAAGGATGATGGCAACATATGTACAAATGTGCTTGGCACTATGGATGGATGTATGGATTATGATAAGAGCTGTAAGAGCCGGCAATAAAATGAATTTTAAAATATTAATTTTCCTTTATCTATGCTATGGCTCTTAAGATTGTTTAATCCAAGTCACACTAATATGGAACAAATGTAACTACTCCCACTTCAGCCAGTTTCACTTCTGACCTCAAGTAAAGAGAAATAACAGAAGAGCCTTTACTCTAAGTCCTGGACATTAATAGTAACAGCTAAAATGTACCATTCTCATGCCAGTTTTTGTGTATGAGGTCCTTCAAATGATATAGCATCATTTATTTCCCACAAAACAATGACACAATTGGATCTATTATTTTCCTCATTTTAGGGGAGAGAAGAAGACAGGCTCAGGTAAATTAAATAATGTGCCCTGAGTGTGAGGAACAGAAGGATTTCTCTTAAGTTGTCTCCCCAAAATATATGCCAGACTTAGTTTGAGAATGACTGTTCATTAGGCAGCGAAATAGGTCAGAGGTTATTCTCCTTAACATCAGCCATCTAGAGCGGCCAGACTGTATAATCTGACTCACCCCAAATAGGGCCCATTCCTTTCAGTTATTGTTCCCTTGAAGCAGTGCCCAAAGGCAAGCCTGGGACCACTCTAAGATGACTAGGTCATCCCCCTCCTGTTGCTTGTATTGCCTATGTTGCAATCCCTCCCTATGATGCATGACGCAGGTTGTTGTGAATTGTATTGCCCCTCTCTGTGATGCATGATGCTGTAATGTATCCCCCTAAAGTGATATGATGTGTGGTTAGCAATAAATAAGGAGGCTCCCTGGTGGTCAGGAGGGGCTGCTCCCATGAGGGCGGTGGATGAGAGGGCAGCTCCCGCGAGGGAGGCGGCTCCTGCTCTGGCAGCCGGGTTCCCCCCACGAGGACCACCAAGCGGGGCGGAGGTGAGCAATGCTACCATGTAATATGTCTGACTGTATTATTGTATTATCTCTCATGCTCTGGATGACTTTAATATAATGCTTATATATCTCAACCGTACAACTGTGCATTACTGAACTCAGAAGTAGTATTACTAAACCAATGAGTTCAAGCAGCAGGTGGGGCTGGCACCCCACTCCCCCTCGTCACTTTTAATTTAATACAACACCTGAGTCACCCAGCTAATACTGCAAAAACAGATCTGATTCTCAGCCCAGGATCAAACAGTTAGTGGGAAATTCGTTTTGTTTTTTATTATTATAACTTCTTCTAGAGTTTGGGGGGGGGGGGGAATCTAGCAATTGTACAAGTTTTTGAAAATAGTTTCTCTTCCAGAGACACTGTGTGCAGGCATTCAAAATGGTCAGCGTCTGACCTACCGACATAGGCTGTCCTACAATACAGCCTCTAACAAAACTAGGCTGTCCCGAACCCCTGGTAACAGAACTGTTTACTTCTATACAAAAAAGGTTGGGAAAGTGCCAAAATCTGCATGCCACGGTGTGTGCCCAGGCCGACTTCGAGGGGTCCGTGCTGTGAGACCCAAAGTTCTCATGAGGTTGTCCAAAACCAAAAAACACGTCAGCAGCGCTTATGGTGGGTCCATGTGCGCTAAATGTGTCCGAGACAGGATCAAGCGTGCTTCCCTTATTGAGGAGCAGAAAATCGTTGTGAAAGTGCTGAAGGCACAAGCACAGAGTCAGAAAGCTAAATAAATACAAATGGAGCTTGTTTGAACAATAAATCAAATGACTTGTTCTCTTAAAAAAGAAAAATAGAGGGAGCGGGTTCAGCGCAGCGTGTTCCATGCCAGGTCCCTCCGATGCCAGCTCCTCACTGCCGCTGGCTGCTCGTCAGCTCCCCTTCCCCTGAACTGCGTCCCGATGGCGGCCCGCCCCACCCCGACATGGAGGAGCCTACACGTTTGGGCCCAAGGTGGCTGGCTGCGCGGTTTCCCCGGGTCCAGCCTTTCCCCGGAGAGACACGATCCGCTTTTCTTTCCTCCAGAGTTGGCCTGCCCGCGTCTAAGGTTCGTGATATTGCAATATCCGAAGACAGGGCCTGAAGCCAGGAGACACCAGCCATGCTCCAGCCCACTTGGCCTCAGCAGGAGACACATGGCTTCAGGAACCCAGAGGGGCAGTTCTACCCTGGCCTGTAGGCTCCCGATGAGCTGGAATCGACTTGATGGCAAACCCCTTCCTAAGGACCTGAGGGTTGAACCAATAGAGCTGCTATCAATGAGAAGCTGGTACCAAGGGCTCAAGTAGAAAGAAAATGTTTTGGAAAAGATGATGGCAGCATATACAGATGTGTTGGACACAATGGATGTATGTATGGATTGTGATAAGAGCTGTAAGAGAACATGCCTGGAGAAGCTCTGGAATTGCTAGGGAACGAGATTTAAAAAGGGGGTGGTGCAGTACCAGGCTACGATGAGCCTTGTTGGCCATGTGTTTGGAGAACCAACACTGCCTGGGCCGCCCCACATCACCGTCGTCCTCTGCGCCCATGTGGCAGCCACTGTGTCAGTCCCTCTTGACAATCTTCATCTTTGTCGCTGCCCTTCCACTTTGTCCAGCATGATGCCCTCCAGGGACTGGTCTCTCCTGATAGCATGTCCAAAGGACGTGAGATGGTCTTTGTCCCCGATTCTAGAGAGGCTACTACTTCCCAAGACAGACTGATTTGTTCTCTTGGTAATCCACAGTACTCTGAATAGTTTTCACCAGGACCATCATTAAAGTGAATGGATTCTTCTTTGGTCTTATTCATTGTCCAACTTTGACATGCATATGAGGCAGTTGAAAATATCGCAGGTACATGGGTACAGATAAGACCTGGAAACACAGGTAATCCCAGGCCAGATAAACCCCTCAGGACCAATATTGAGAGTAGCCATACCAGGAAGATAAGGGGAAGGTGAGGGGAGAAAAGGGGAACTGATCACAAGGATCTATATATAACCTCCCAGAGGGATGGACAACAGAAAAGTGGGTGAAGGAAGACAATGGTCAGTGTAAGACATGAAAAAAATAATAATTTATAAATTATCAAGGGTTCATGAGGGAGGGAGGGGGGGGGA